GTAGCTGTTGGTCAAAGTATCGGTTATTTGAAAGAGAAGTGCTTGACTTGGATGCAAGAACAATATGTCCGTGCTGTTATCGGTATCAAGATTTTAAATCCTAGACAAAATATTCAAGAACCTGGAACTGGATATTTCTATAGAATAATGACGGTATATCTTATTTATTATTCAATAAAGATACCTGATTTATTATTTAATGACACCAAGTTAGTTAACTGATTAGTCTGTTTTTTAAAATATTAGGCTAAACTTTATCGCCAAGGAATGGCAGTACAACGGTGGGACTTTGGGAATGTCAAAAAACATTCAAGGGATCCTGTCAACGATCCTGCTGGTTGCAACGCGCCGAACTTGCCAGCCTTTCAGATTACAATTCCCATAAGTGAAGTATTTTGGGATCCGTCGTTTCCTATCACGCCTGCGTATGTCCCAATAATCCCGGCAAGCGTAATTGGTACAAATTTTATTATTGACTTGTACCGGATCCAGCGGGTTGCTTTAAAAGCTAGTTAAGCAGCTGCGATCACGTGATAACGAAATTTGACATTGCAATATCCCATGGGCTACTCTATTAATAAATAAAAAACTTATTACTGCGTGATTTTTTCCATATAATATTGAAACCTTTGTTGTCCTTATAATATATTATTAAGCATATGGAATAAATAACATTTATTGGTTTATTTGATATAGTAATAGCAGAAGGAAATAAATATAGATAACAAAAATTTGGAAATCTCAACTTATTATATAGTGTCATGGGTCACGGGTCAGGGGTCTATCACTTATCACAGGGTTTCGGATATAGCAGGGGGTGTAAGAGGCAGAAAGAAGGTGTAGATTTGACAAGGTTGTCTGATTTGGGGCGATTTTATTGATTAAGAATAGTATAATGAGTATGGTAATTTGATTCAATAAACATGTCTTTTTTTTCTCTTTACAGCTCATTATATTATTTTTATACTTTTAGGATGACAAAAGAAAATAAAAAAAATAAAAGAAATAATTGATTAAAAAAAAATAAAAAAATAAAAGAAATAATAAAAATAATGAGATTGAGAATTGATTACTCATTTTAGAAACCTTTGTAATGCATTATTGCTGCTTTTCAATTATAAGTCATATTATTAATCACTATTTTTCTAAAACAATAGATTCTTTATATTTGTAATTTTGAAAATTTGAAAGATATTAAAAATAATTCTTGGATAAGCTTTTTTTTAATATAATTGGGTTCTTCATAATTATTTTTTAACTTTTAACTAAAAAAATTTTTGATTGATTTTTTTTTTTTTTTGAGTAGATAAACACCATTTCTTTATTTATTCATATATTACAAGGTATACATTTGGAAAGAAACAACATCTCTTACGTGCAATTAGCAGTAAGTTTAATGCTAGCCTGCCTACAGTAATCATTTAACTTCTACTAGAAAAGACATTTTAAAACTAGTATACTAATCAAATGATGCCGAGCAGCTATATATGCCTACTCAGAGTTATTTTGAGAAATAAACTTGTGGTGATTTGAAATGAGATTAGAAATACATAATGAAAAATTAAAGTTGTTTTGGATAAATGTTTCTGCTACTAATATAGAGAGATCGATTGTTGTAACACTGTTTTGAGGATTTGAGCTATTGTCAATATAAGGGGTAGGGTTGGCTCTTGAAGTATTTGCTTTAAAGTTGGAGTTATTGTTGTTGGCCTTATTGTTTTTTGTATTGTTTTTTTTAAGAGTTTCATTCCATTTGATGCCTGTGGAAGGTGAAGTATTTGCTGTGCTACAATGGGGTTTTCACGTGAGGTTATAGAACATAGTAAAGGCTTTGGTAGATGCTTTGATCCAGTTGTGAATGTCGGCTGTAAAAAATTTTTGATTGATTTTTTAAAGCTTTATTAAATTATATTTTATTAGTAAATTGATTTATTTTTTAATTTGATATTAGATTTTTTTATTTTTATCTCGATCCTTTAATTCTTGGATATATTTCATTTATAAAAACCAATTCCAGTATTATATATAAAAATGTTAACCAGAAACAAAAGATTACAAATTTGAGAAGATATAAAATCCTATTTGAAACCTTTATTTATTATATTAATATCTTATTATAATCTTGTAAATAATATATACTTAATATTGTATGTAGTATTTTTTTTTGATATAAAGTTTATAAAAGATATAACTATATATTAGTATAGTAAATACTTCATAAAATATTTTTGATATAAAAACATACTTTACTATATTAAAAATTTAATCAATACTTTTATTTATTATTCTAAATTAATATTTTATAGTTTTATCTATTTATCTATTTTATTTTATTATTGTTAATAAATTTTTTTTAAACATTGTTTTTTAATAATTTCTTTATATTTGCAATAAAATAAAAATATATATTATTATAAATTATAAATTAGATTATAAATTGATTATAAAATAATTTTTATTTATTTTTTTTTGAACTAAAGTGTAATACATATAAGGATTTTATTGTAGATTAACAAATTACAAATAACTATTATATAAACAGTCTTTTTTTTTTTTTGGGAGGGGGTTTCCCCTCATAGGTAAGCATCATTTCTTTATTTGATATTGTATATAACATGGTATACATCGTGAAAGAAAC